CGAATCTCGACCCTTACGTACTGGTTCATGGGATGGGCGTTTGCCATCAATAAGACACATCCCTCAATGATCCAATCACGGCATATAACAAGGACGAGTTAAACATCCCAAATGAAGACTCCTACTTTTTTGATAGAATCTCTTCGAAGTCAGTTCATGGATCGATATTTACCCGACCCATCCCACGAATGGGAGAAATCAAGGTCAAATTCATCAGGCAACTGCAAAGAACTAGAGTGTATCCAGAATGATCAGGGGGAACAATCTTCTCGCTCTTCGGGTTCTTCAGCTGTGGACAAAACTAATTCAAGAACCGCAAGTTTGACAAGAAGCACGAGCTTCAGTGCAGTTATTGAAGAGATGACTCCTGAATACAATGTGGTGGCTGAAAGTATGGTTACCAAGGAAGTTGAAGGGGATGCTTCCGGAAGAAGTCTTCAATCCAAATCAGAATCAGATATCAAATCTTCGTGCAGACAAGATTCTGATGAGAAAGGCATGAAGCAGACTGTGGGGAGTGGGGTGTTTTTATCTATTCTCCAACCAGAACACTTAAAGAAATCATGAGGGATGATCTTAAAGAAGAGTACATCAGATACATGGTAAGGAAACAATAGTTGTTGATTCATGAGTCATGAGTCACGAGTCTGTTGTTATTGATTTGGTTATGATATCAGGCGGAGACACCTCGAGCCATTGGATCAGCAAAGGAAGATAATGACTGGGATTTGTTGTTTGAGGAGCAAAGAAGGAAGATAATAAAATTGTGGGATGAATGCAACATTCCATTGATTCACATGACCTACCTTTTCTTGCTCATCCAAGGCGGTCCATCTGATTCCGTCTACATCGAGATCGAGCTCCGCCGACTATCCTTCCTCCAGAAAGCAGTACATCACGCCTCAAGGTTTGCTTACACATATGAATCATAATACTTGCATTTCATTTTTTACTCATACTCATCTTTGTTTGTTTGTTTGTTTGTTGATGGGTAATAAAATCACAAGGGCAATGGATTTGGAGAGGGCGATGCTAAGCAGGAAACTACTGAGGAAATACTCAGCAAAGGAAAGGGAAGGCCTTTTTCTACCAGACCACCTGCAGAAAGAAGCATTCCAACACATGATTTTGATCCTCTTGCCACTGCCACATGCAAAGGAATGGTTTTTTGCACATTCCTTATGTTCACATCAACTCCAGCATAAGGAATAACTGTTCAAACATAACAGCAGTTAATGGTCCAACCAATTCAACTCATTCATGCCTTTTTGTACATAAAATGTCAACACACTTGAGGAAATTGATGGAAGAATAAATAAATAAATAAATAAAATTACTTTAACTAACTCCAAATCATTAGTCATAGCAGCAGTATGCAGAGTTGTACCTCCATGTTGAGTGTTTTGAGCAGTAGCTTCAGCTCCAACAACAAGAAGAATCTGTATAAGTTCTCTACCATCTACAACATAATTAAATAATTATATATATTTAGGGTAATAAAAACATAATTAAATATATATATATATATATATATTAGCAGCAATATGGATAATTATATATATATATATATATATATATATATATATATATATATATATATATATTGGGTAATAAACAACATAATTAAATAAATATATATAAAAAATACCTTGTCTTGGCTGAACATGTTTATATCTTCGACAATGAAGATGAGGTCAAATCTTGAAAGAATTGTAGTCTGTAAGTCAATGTTATCTTGTGCAGTTTTGAGATCATCATAACGACCTGATGGAGGGTTTTGCAGCTAATACAGAAGTCCTGGAATTCAGAATTGTTGTTATTCCTGCTTTGGTTATGGATATTGTTTGTTGTTCCATGGCTTCATGTATGGCAGCCCTAATATGGAAGGGTGTTGTAGAATATTTGTATAAAAAAAGTAAAAAGATAAGAAAGTTACAGTGTTGTTATCACAAATGACAGAAGCAGTAAGCCCAGCTGCAGATGAGCCTTTCCTGGAAGTGTATACAACTATAGGAGCAGTACGTACCTAACCTTGTCAAAAACAAAAATGTAATTTACTCAAATCCATATTTTTTTAACTAACATTGTCTTGTAACCATTGCATTCAAAGAGAACTAAGTTTATCATCAAAAAAGGCTACACCTAATTGAATGGCCAATAGTGGAATGTATTCTATATGTGCAACACCATTCATAATATGAAATAATAATTATAATAAGTTTCGTGGTGTACAAGGTGTAATTAAGCATTACATATACAAAAAGTAAAAACCAAACCTGCAGAGCAACAAGCAATACCTTGTGTTTTTTTTTTGTTTATTTCCACTTCTTCACAAAAACACCATTCATTCAAATCAAAACTTAACCAACAAAAACCAAAACCAAAAGAAATCAAATCTCCACACTCACATCACAGTCCACTCTCGTTCGATTCCTACAATTAAAATGATCAGGATGATGATGATTGAGGACATTTACGTCTTTTTTGCACATACAAGAGAGAGAGAGAGAGAGAGAGAGAGAGAGATTACAAGGTAAATTGGAGTAGGGTGTGGGTGTTAACGAGGTAACCTCTTATGGCTGAGAATCTCCTTGAGGTGATGATGGAACCTGCTGAGGCGGGCTTGGAGGCTCACAAGATTTGTTGCTTTGCTTGACAACATACAACTTAACTGAGTCACGTAGTTGTTGATAAGGCTTCCTGGTTTATTAGCTTCTGCCAGCAGTTTCATTTCCCGATTTCCAGCAAGGCTAATATGATTTGAACCCTAACATAAAACTCTTACCAAACAAGTTCAGGATGCCAGCGACGGGAAGGAAGAAAAGGATGTTCGCAAGGAGAAAGAAGGTCTGACGCCGGCAGGGTGGAAGAAGCAGTGGCGACGGCGGCGAGGAGAAGGAAGACCGACCGCAGCGAGGAGAAGGAAGACCGACCACAACGACGGGAGGGGAGCCAGTGATGTCTTTGACCAGAGTATCTGAAGAGCTTGTATCTTCACGGAAAATAAAGCGATTGACAGGAAAAATTCTAGGAAACATGTGAAGATCGAGCAAGAACAAACTCAGCAATCAAGTAAAAACAAAAGAACTCACTAATTGGGAAAGAGATAAATCTTGAAGCTCTTACCATATGAAGATATAGAAAAGATGATTGAAGAGGTCGATTGGGCAGATTTATAAGATCGCTTGTGGTAGGAGGCAATGAATGGATGAAACAAGCCCTAACAAATCCAGGCGCAAATCCAGGCGAGAGGGATGAGATGGAAATACGAGAGTGGGATAGAAAAAATTAGGGTCGGATTTAGGAACCCTAAATCATCGGCTCAAATTGATAACTGGGAGGTAAGAACCCTAAATCCTCAGCTCATTAGGGTCGAATTAAGAGTGTAAGAGTTTGTTGGAACCAAGAATTAGGTTTTTGGTGGAGGTTATGGATCGAGGAATTGAGGAAGTTGTGGATGAAGATGAAGGCCCTAATTCGAAGAGGCGGGAATTTTTGGGATGAATAGCGGGGTTAATTTTTTGGATTTCATTTTTTCCCCCTAAAAACGCGTGTTTCCTAAAAAAATATAAAGCGACACAGTTACACGACGCACATTTTTTGATAGGTGCCCTCCGTATTTTTTTTTCTAACACAAATTTAAGGGCACGCCAAAAATGGGTGTCTTCTATCCTTCAAATTTTGGAAAACTGACATTAATTTTTAGGGCACGCACAAATGCGCGCCCTTTATCCGTGTGTGTCAATAATTGCGTGTCGTAAAAGGCTATTTTTCTAGTAGTGTTTGAAAGCTAGGGTGTTACTTATATAGTGAGGTTACATTAGGGTTACACCATGTAAACCCTAATGTGCATGAATTTCCATATTCCTCATGATCCATGGGTTCTAACCTCCATGGAGTATCCATGGGTCACCACATGGATTAAGCGCAACATAAGGAATCATGGATCATTAGCCCACATTATAAGAATGAATGATTTACACAATCAATACTAATTAATATATTATAACTATAATATATTAATAAATCGTAAATATTCTATTCTCAAAAGTCCAAATTGTTCTGGTGAAGTACAACCCATATGGACCATGCTAAACCAGGTCCAGTACATACCAAATATTGTTATGGACTTAGACACCTTATCCAACAGTCTCACACTTGGATAAGTCTAATAACTATAGTTGCAAATACGACTTCAGGAACCGACCAACAATCGTAGCTCTTAAAACTTTCTTGAACTAGAACGTGCCATTTTAGACAAGTGATCATATAATCCTCTGTTCTCAACTTATCATCCAGACAAATACATGGAACAACGTCATACTTATTGTCCAGCAGTTTGTCTCCCAATTTCTGATTTGTTTGACATAGAACTTAATCGAACACATCAATTGATTTCTGACCGGGCCCGTCACATAAGTCAAAACAAAATCATCGAGGGGCCCACGTGTTGGGGTGCAAAGGTATTCATGATTGACTTTGTAAATGTTTGACTTTTGTAAAACCCATTTGCATATGGAGTATTAGCCTTTTGACACATGTGTAAATGAGAGTGAGAGAGAGACATGTAAACACCTCTATATAAGGTGGGTTTGTCCACTTGTAGAGGTGTGCTTGAGAGATGTAGTCATAGTGATTAGTGAGTGAGATGTTTAAGAAGCTCTAGACTAGATCCCTTTTGTACTCATAACACTTTCCATGTGTGTTACTTGAGGAAGTTTATGGGAGAAATTCCCAATATAATTCCAATTTTAGAGTTAAGGATGGATGAAAATAAGAGGCTAATTGAAGAGCCTAAGGCGATTATTGACTGTAAGAGTAAGAAGTTGCACCGCAAGATGGTTGACTTAGTGCTTGTGCACTAGAAATATACGAATGGGCCGAACCTCACCTGGGAAACAGAGAGTGACATGATTAGTCGCTACCCACATCTGTTTGTTGATGCATGATTCCGAGATGGAATCATCCAAAGGAGGAGAGAATTGTAGCGCCTGTGTTTCTAGGCTAAGCATTAATTTAATGGTGTAATAGCTAGGGTCAACACTTATAACCTACTTTGAAATAATAAATAGGAATTATTTGAATATTATGTGATTTTATGTGCCTTATATTTAACTATAAGATATAATAAGTAAAGAAAAAAATAAGCGTCAAAAATAAAATAATAGATAGGTCCAATATCTATGAATAAAGTTGTAATGGTCGGGAAAAGGATTCCGGAGATTTAAAGAACGCTGAAATCCGAGTTATAACGAAGAAGATATGACTTGTCGAAGTTTCACGTCAAAACCGGCACGACACTAGCAAACATAAAAAGTTAGTTTATGATAAACTACTTTTTATCCTTAGGAGTCTAAATGAAAGTTGTAGAGTACGTCTCCACCTACGCGTCAATATAAAGAACGTCAAAAACGGAGTTTGTATGCAAAGGTTATGGCCTTCCGAAGATTCAGCTTTTAGAAACCCTAAGATAACTAAATTCACGACGTGAGCTTTATGACACTCACGACGTGAGGAATTATTTTTCCACATTTCAGAATCTAGAAGGTGTGACGAGGCTGCGAGGGGATAGGATCCAAACTCACGACGTGAACAAGGTGTTTTTCACAACGTTAGGAGTCACATGGCCACCTTCCAAAGCTAGGGACGCAAATGGCAAGTCTACGGGGTGATCATGCAAGACTCGCGACGTGAGCCTTATGACACTCACGACGTGAGTTTCTAAAATCCCTACTATAAATAGCAGGTCCGACTTCAGCCATTCTTACACCAAAACTTCTTCCCTTTCTCTCTTTTGCTGAGGTCATTTTGCATCCCGAGCCCCGACGATCTCGCACGCTGACCGTTTTGCTTAGATAACATAAAATCACACTACTAAGGTGAGTGCATAGTTACTTTCATCTTACACATAGATATGAAGTATTTTATATATTACATGATATGTGTGCATATTATCTGTATACTTGCTATCTATGCTGGATGAATGTTTTTATACAAGTTTTAAATGATTTAAACTGTATATTACTTTATATCTACAATAGAGTTGGGGTAAAACATGGGTAGATATAATAAGACAATGTCTGATAAAATGATGAGAGGCCTCGATGTTGTTGTTGTTGATCCAGTCATCTAGCGGAGTATAGATGACAACCACAGCCTCTTCTAGTCAGTCCAGTGGAACGTTGGCAGGCTCGCAACCTGTAGGTGTTGTGAACGATGTGTTCACCGGTGTACTCCATCCCCCCACATGGTTGTCTTTAGGAAATTTATTTCTAAGGAACCCCCTAAGCAGTAGTGTCCATCCCGATGATGATCCTTAGGATAGGTCCCTTATGATAGGTGTTTAGGGACGTAATGTGAGGATAACGGGAACGAGTAATCAGGTTATTGTTGGTTGATGAAATTAATAAACTATTTATTGTGGGTTGAAAACCCTATGTGCTCACCAGGCTCCCAAGCCTGACCCACTCAGTTTTATGTATTACAGATAGTGGCGCTCAAGCATAGTTGTGATGTGTTGAGATGAGGGATTACGGATATAGGCCTGTAGATAGGAAATAATGTAGTAAGGCTTATATTGTATTGTTTATACTTATGTACTGTATTGAACATGACATCCTGAGTCTTTTAATGAAATACATTTCTAAGGAAATGCTTTTGATAAATCTTTATCAGATTATTGTTTTGGGACAAATTCCGCAACTCTTTTCTTAAAAGGTTACTCTGATTTTGAAATAAAGTATAAACAAAACCAGTCTTTTCTGGCCGTGACTTTGGGGATGTCACATTTGGTATCAGAGCACTAGTTTAAGTGAACTAGGAAATTGTAGGATTTCTAGACTTAAACTTAGAATGCTAAGTGATGATTGTTAGATGAGTGCCTGCTAAATTTTATACACGAGCACGAGTTCATTTTAGGAAAGATGCCTATATTTCTTTGGTGTGCTAAATGCTTTTTGTTATAGATATAATTATAAAGATGACTTATATGCTATTATTTGTTCGGATCAATGGTCAGTTGCCGACCGGATCTAGAAACCTTATGTGTTTAGGATTTTAAGCGTACGACTACGATATTAGAACCAACATATAAATGTTTCGGAGAGATAAGTATGATTTAAACGTCTATCCTAAATAAAGATCTAAATTCACCTTATTCGGTGTATAGATCAAGATGGCAAGGACTCGTAGCGGAAACGTAAACGCAAATGGAAATAGGAACCAACCCCCTCAACCTCAAGTGATACAACAAATACCTGTTGTCGAAGAAGTGGCACCTGAGCCAATGACAATGGCCAGAGTGCAAGTGATGATCCAGATGATGTTGGATCGCCAAATGGAAGAAACAAGGCGTTTACTTCAATAGAACCGTGAAGAACTTACAGTACCAATTGAACAACACGAGCTGAATGATGGGCATTCAGAAGGAGGAAACTACAATGGGACTGTTGGTAAAGACAACCCACCGATAGTTAGGCAAAACCACCAGGAGGGAGGAAATGATGGACACGGATGCAAATACAAGGATTTCATGGCATCCAAACCACCGAGTCTATCTGGAAGCCCGACACCGGTGGAAGTCACAAATTGGATCTCTGAGATTGAGATGATGTTTGAGAGTTGCGAGTGTAGCAATGGCAGAAGACCGCTCTCGCGGTTCCTCTATTGAAATCTAGAGTACTAAGCTGGTGGAAGCTACTAGCTGATTCAATGCCCAAAGGTGAAGCAAGCAAGATGTCGTGGGAGGATTTTCTGGTGCAGTTGAAGATGCAATACTGCTCTGAGCAGGATCTTCTGGAGATCAACAACGATTTCCAGAATATGAGGAAGGGAAGAATAAGCGTTACTGAATACGCTGCAAGCTTTACTTAGAAAATGAAGCTTGTTCCTCACCTCATCCCAACTGAACTCTCCAAGGTTAACAAATTTGCCCTCGGATTACCAGCGGACTTTGGTCCAATGGTCAAGCAAAATACCACTCTGAAAGCTGCCATCTGGGCTGCTAAGAATGTGGAGACTCAAATACGAGAGAAGGGTA